TCCTCTCTCAGTAACTCTTTCAAATAAATCTTTAAAAAATAATAATAACCTCACATAGGAGTAGATTGAATCACAGGAAATGATCAATACTCAACCATCTTTTGTTTGACCTAGAGATGTGTTATGGGAAGACCTGGCCGTGCATCTCCCCAGCTGTGTCCTCAGGCATCTCCTGAGCCTCAGTCTGCTGACCATCGCCCATTCTCTGGCATCCCTCAGCAATGTGAGTTCCAAAGAGCAGGCTTAACACAGAAGGAGCAGTTCTCGAGAATCTCAGAAGCACATGGCTGCTGGGGGTGGAGAGAACACCGTCCAACACAAATGTGGGGGATACAGATCAGTTTCTCAGCTCACCCCTTACCTTCGGCAGGCTACAACCCCACTGGGGACCCCAGCTTGCAGTGGCTGAGATGCAGGCGGCACATCAGACAGCACCATCGGGGGTGTGGACGATGGCGACCTGAGGGACTCGCACCTTTGAAGCAAAGGCAGGGCACCAACAGCGCGGTATCTGCAGAAGACCAGTCTGGTCTTGTGCAAGACACGGGCACAAGGACTTGCACTTGATAGAGGCTCGGCCTTTTCCTGCTCAGTGCCTTTGTTTTCATCCAGCTACTAAAGCACTTAGCACAAGCAAATGCCATAACCTTTCATATCTCACTGCCATTTGTTGCCCTGTTCCCGTCTGTTTTGTTTTTTTTTTTTTTTTCCTCAAACAGCCCTGAGGTAGGTATGACACACACATACACACACACCCTTGGTTACTATGGGAATTATCTGCACAGTGTATGTCACGCACAAATAACCCCTCAGCAGGAAATGCCACGTTTTTTGATAGGTCTTCCTGGCCCATTCACAGCCGTACTTCTCCGGTGACTCAAATTTCAGCCGCTCACTGCTGAAGGAAAGCATTAATGATTGGAAAGAAATGTCACAGTTCATCACCTTACCTATCATCAGTCCTCAACCCCAGCACCCACCCCTCTCTTTCCAACCATGAGGTTTTCTCCTGATGTAATCTCCTGTGGGCAGATGGCCCTGGAGGCGCTAACTGACCAGTCTCAACTGGAGAGGAGAATGTGACTTGATTTTCCTGCAATTCCTTTGTGGCATTTAGAAACAAATGGCCAGTGACCAGGACGTTTGATAGAACCCACAATCAGAGGCCAGGAGAAGCGACACCAGAGGGCCTCAGGGGAGCAAGCAGAGATGGACACAGCAGCCCAGAATGCTGGGTAAATGCAGCGACTTCCCACCACCCAAGAGAGAGCAGGACGGTGCCGAGTGTGCTGCAGCTCTTTCGGCATGTCACCTGGACCATATTCGAGCCTGTGTCACGCAGTGCCACCTGCTTTGCTGTGACAGAAGGTTCTGGTGCAATGTCATAAGCGCAGATGTCACTCCAGACCCAAGCCTCTCAAGAGGCCAACGTCCAACCCAACGTTCCAGACAGTGAATAATCGAGGTCCTCCCAGCCATGGTTACGGCTCTGTGACAATCTGACTCCCCGTCATCACAGAATGAAGGAGAGCACAGATCATTTCTACTGTTTCTGAATGAACCCTTAAGGGCTAAAAATATGAATTTCAACTTACACCTCAAACACTAGCCTCTCCAGTAGCCACCGCCACAGAAAATGTACTGTGAGGGGGTTTTTGCTGCATAAGCCAGCCATGGGACACTCCAAATCACATTTCCTTAGACAAGCAATGTGCTTCACATGTCCCTCAAGAAAGAATGAGCACCCAGAGTCATCCGCCAGCCAGCAGGTCAGTGGTGGCTGGCGACATTCTTGCTGCCTGGAGGATAAATGGACCCTGCAGAGCTATGACCCTTTCACCAGCTTAGAATCGGGATCATCGCAGGAAAAAAAAAAAGGTGCAAAAATAATCACAAAAATTCTTCCTCTCAAGAAGCCAGAGCAGGTGATCTGTGCTGGGCAGCCCCTAAGGTAGTACCCCCCCCCAATCCTGTGTTCGCAATCCCTATGGAGGTCAGAACTAGGAACCACTTCTGACACATTAGGCTCCATCTAACTAGCAGACCCTGCTTGCTGGCCTCATGAAGTCAGCTTTCATGTGAGGAAAACAGGTGGCAATGAACTGGATCTCCAGGGGCCTCTGGGAACCCCAGGGAGCTGATGGGAATTGAGGGCAGCCTCCAAGGCAGCCTTATCCTACACCAGGAGGGAACTTGGCAGTGGATTCCTCCCCAGCCAAGCCTTCAGATGAGAATCAGGCCCTGATGCAGACTAGCCTTGTGAGGCCCTAGGACTTGCAGTCGGGCCGACCCCTGACTCACAGATGCTGTGAGAAAACAAGATGTGCGTTGTTTTAAGCTGCAGCAGCAATGGATGATTAACATATGCTCCAAGCCCTCACTGGCAAGTAAGTCTGCAGTCACTGTCTCTCTAAACCCTCAAGGAGCTAAACCCCAGAGCCCCAGTATTTCTTTAATGCTCTGCTTCTATGGTGGGGTTAACCCCTGTGTCATCAGACTCTCTTTTTTCTTGGTTAAGGCTGAATGATGTGAAAGTAATTGCCTCCTTCTGGAAAAATAGCATACATTAAATGGCTATTTCCATTAAAAAATATTTCTCTCTCTCGGGCCACCATTCTAGAAGGTACAGGAACTGTAACAGAGGAGCCTGTTTTGCCTGCCCTAAGCCTGGAAGGGAAGAAAGGAGCTGCCTGCTGTATTCTCACTCTGCCATGCTGCACCTACTACCGGTCTTCCCTCCTTCGAGGGGAGGGAAAAATGTCAGCAAACAGAACAAATGAAGTTCAGGGGAAGAGAAAACGACAGACCAACAGAGGAGTGGCCAGGTCATGGAGGCCTGCAGGGCATCCGCCTTGCATGTGGATCTGAGATCTGGCCTTTGTGTCGTCACTCAAGGAGGGACTTCAGGGGCCGATGTGTGGCTCAGAGTTCCACTCGGAACACCTGCATGCCCTGGGGAGTGCCAGTAACAGTCCTGGCTGCTTCACTTCTGGGTGAGCTTCTTGTTAAAGTACTTCAGAAGCGCCAGACAACGGCTCAGGTACCTGAGCCCCTGACCCCGACGCTGGAGACCCAGCTGGAGTCCCTGACTCCTGACTTTGGCCTGGCCCAGCCCAAGCTGATACAGCCATTTGTGGTATGAACCAGCAAATGGAAGCTCTCTCCCTCTGACTCTCCCCGTGTGTGTGTGTGTGTGTGTGTGGTGTGTATGTGTGTGTCTGCCCTTCAAATCAATCAACTAACCAATCCTTGGGGAAAAAAGAAATCAACTTAAAAAACTAATAGTGAAAAAAGGAAGGAAGGACCTCAGGGTGGCACCCTGTGAATTCCTCCAGCCCAGGCAGGGTTCAGGACCAGGCCCGAGAACCACCACCCCCAGAAATGCAACAGCCTGATTTCTGGCTTCTCACTCCGATGTCCACACTCAGCCTTGGTGTTAGGTAATAGAGCAAGAGGTTCTAAAACAGTGTTTTAAGGCAGCGGAAGCACATCTGACTGGTGCAGCAAGGGGAAGACGGCAGAATGGACCCACTCTTGTGGAAGCCCTTTTACTAAACACACACCTAACATGAGAAGGCTCCTCAAGGCCTACAGGCCCCAGCACACAACGGCTCTGGCCTCCACAGAACACCCTCCCACTCCTCACTGGCAAGGATCCAGATTTACCCACTGTCTTTGGGAAGGTGCACCTGCCAATTCTGAATCTCTGTTTCTGACAAAGTTGCAACAGTCTCCAAACAAAGTGCCTGATGCGCTCTTTGCCTCCAGGAACTTGGAGTTCAAGAGGAGGCCCTCTCCCTTCCTCCTTTCAGTGCAGCCTGCTCCCAGGTACTCACAGGTAGCAAAGGTCACTGCTGTGTCCCCAGCAAAGTTCTTCTGATTACAGGCTCAGCGTGGGCTCTGTGCACATTCTTAATATAGCTACAGCCTTGGAATTAAGGCTGTGAACGGCCTCAAATGACTGCAAGAACGTGAGCGACACAGAGAGAGAGGGAAAAAGGTGAAGCTCGTGATACAATCCCTCTCCACGGAAAAAACCTTCTCCTCCATCCCAGACCACTCCTATGCCAAACCCAAATAGCAGACTCAGAGCCAACTAGACCTACCCCTTATCTACAACAGGCCCACAGCGCCTCCCTGGCTAGCCCTGACCTCCTGTACCCATCCGGCTGAGAACTCCCAGCTCCCAGGAACCACCTGACAGCCACTGGCCTACACAGACAGTTACAGTGTGGCAATCCAAGGACAAGCTACCAGGAAATTTTTAATTGCAAGGGTGAAAAGTGAAGTGAGAAGAATTAGAGGAACAGAAGCCAGATGAGAAGTCCTGGAACAGGAAGGAAACTGGAACTGACCTATGACCTTGAGAAATGCGAATGCCAGGAGTTAGAGGCAGACCCGCAGCCAGGTACTTCACTGCCACTGTGCTGCCCCGGCCCCAAGCACAGAGCGTGGCAACGCAGCACCTGCCCAGGCGTTGGCCCAGAATGAGGGGGAACGGCCTGGCGGGGAAGCTGACCAGGCCTGGTGGGGAAAGGTCTTGCCTGCTGAAGGACATGACGAGTGCCAGGGTTCTACACCATGGTGCGTGGCTGTAGTTTACAACCATTTATTACATATCTTAGAAAGCGCCAGAGAGAGGGTTCACAGGCTCCCAACACAAAGAAATGATAAACACTTAGGGAGATGGAAATGTTAATTGTCCCGATCATTACATACTATATACACAAATTGAATTAGCATTGTACCCCCATTAAAATTGAAAACAAGAAACGTTCTATTGGGAGGAAATGCAGGAGCTTAAGAAACACAGGCAAACTTGTTTTCTACTGAGTCACCAGCAAGAGCAGAGCCAGGTGCGTCTGAGAAATCCCGCAGTTAGAGATTTAAAAGGATGAAGACTAGGGCTTCGGTGTTCAGTTCTCATGGGTAGAAAGGAGTAGCGGACTCTAGCACAGAAGAGAAGGCCACCTGCTGTGCTGCTGCCTGGCACACTGTACCTGGAATCCGACGTGAGGACTCTACACCTTCTCACTGAGGATGCACCTGGATCCTGGAGGAAGACGGCCCAAGGGCTTCGATGGGGACTTCAGGCTCCTGGAAGGCAAGAAGAGCTGTCAGAGGTGCTCTGTCCTAGAGCCCCAGAACCCCCAAGCATTCAGCCCAGCCCCACTGCAGGCAGGACACCCCAACTGCAACACCAACTGGAGACAGGGTGAATGGCAGGGAGAGACAAGAGGGTCCCACCAGGAGCACTAATAAGAAGGGATGCCAAGGGGAAACTCCAACAGGAAGACGAGACATATGGACCAGATGACCTCCAGATCAGAGACTGCCACCTCACCTCAACAAACAGGGTCTCCTATTGCAAAGGGATGACGTGATAGCATCACATAGGCTATTTCTGCAAACCCAGGCCAGAGACGACAGGCACAAGCCCTGAGCCCCTGCTAGGGGTGACATTCCCGACACAGGTATTGGGAAGCAAGATCACCAGGGGTAGGAAACCTTAGCTGGTGCCTTCAGGAAACAGCCAGACCCCACTCCCCGTCATTGCCCATCTGGCCAAGGAGTTCACCTGAATATACTAGCTAACATAGGCAGGGCACTTCAAAAAGCACAGTATTTTCATAATCCGCATTTTCCATGTACTTGTTGAAGACTTTCATGTTGGCACAGAGAATATATACCTGCCCATACAAAACACAGCAGTCTGATGACTTGGGTGGGGCTGAAGGCTGTCCCAAAAGCAGGACTTGGGGCCTGGAGAAGTGGCCAGCAGTCCGAGAAGGAATGAGATGGAAGGTACAGATCCGGTGCTGACCAACTCCATAAAATCTAAAACACAACCCACGATCCCATGCCCCTAACTCAACACATTGCTACGTCTTGGTGATCATACGCTGTGGCAGCCCTGAGAAAAGCAAAGGTTGATAGACCCAGGCGACAGTCCACATGGACACAGACCTCCCACTGCTCAACAGAGAGCTGGGCACCAAGGTGCTGGTTCTCATGCCAGTCTGTGTTGGCGGGACAGGAAGTAGCTGGAGACTTCAGGAAAGGCTTTTATAAGGAGGTCATGTTTGGAGGACGGGATTTACTCAAACACAGAGAGAGCGGGAAGTCTTCAGAGAGGGAGAACTGACCAGAAATACAGAGGCTTGGGTGTAACAGATGCACTAATGATCCCAAAAGATGTCCCTATCCTGACCCCAGGAATCTTGTGACTGTGTCAGGTTGCACTGGTGGGAGAAAACAGGTGCAGAAGGAATGAAGAAACTGATCAGCTGACCTGGGGAGAGGGGGAGCACCTTGGAGGGGAGACCCCTGTGATCATGAGGGTGCTGAGAGCATGGAGGAGGGAGAAAAGCTAGCATCAGAGAGGCACCACAGGAGAAAGACACCACCAGCCACTGCTAGCTTTGAATGCCTTTAGGGACCGCCGGCCAAGAGTGCAGGCAGCCTCTAGGGGCAGGGAAAGGCAGGGAGGTAGACTGTTACACGCTCCCTGGCAACACCTTGACCTGTGCCCATTTCCAACTTCCCACCTCCAGACTGTATGGTTATGTTATGCTGTTTTAACTCAGTAAAAATAATAAATAAAAAAAGTTTACACTTTGAAAAAAGGCTAGAAAACTGTCAGAGTGCTGAGGGCACAGTCATCCAAGTACTTGTGACTAAATCAAGGACGGTGTACTTTATTCTTAAGGGAAGGGATTCAGCCAAGAGCCATGTGCAGAATCTGTCCCAGAATCTGGCATAAAAGGGGCAGAACCTAAAAGGGAAACTACTGACACTTGTTGCCAATCATGAAATCCAAACATTGAAGAAAAAAAATTTAAATTTGGAAAATCTGAGCTCTTGACAGCTCCCTAAACCTTGAGCTTCCCAAATGACATTGGGGCAATATTAACAAATGTAAAGTTTTAATTATTATTTACTTACATTTTATTTGAAAGGCAGAAAGAGAAACAGAGAGATCTCCCATCTGCTGGTTCACTCCCTACATGCCCACGACAACTGTGGTGGGGCCAGGCTGAAGCCAGGAGCTGAGAACTCCATCCAGGTCTCCCATGTGGATGGCAGGGACCTAACTGCTTGAGTTATCACTGCAGCTTCCTAGGGTGCACATTAGCAGGAAGTTGGAATCTGGAGTGGTACCAGGACTTGAACCTGGGCACTCACTGCACTATGAGATGTGAGTGTCTTATGCAATGTCTTTAGTGCTGCATCAAATGATCACCTCTTCCATATACTTTCACCCATCCCTAGATGATTTATGATACCTGATACAATGTAAATGCTAGGTAAGGCCGATGCCGCGGCTCACTAGGCTAATCCTCCGCCTACAGCGCTGGCACCGTCAGGGCGCTGGATTCTGTCCCGGTTGCTCCTCTTCCAGTCCAGCTCTCTGCTGTGGCTCAGGTCCTTGGGCCCTGCACCCGCATGGGAGAAGGAAGCACCTGACTCCTGGCTTCAGATCGGCGCAGCGCGTCAGCCGTGGCGGCCACTTGGGGGGGGGGGGGTGTGAACCAACGGAAAAAGGAAGACCTTTCTCTCTGTCTCTCTCTCTCTCACTGTCTGTCTGACAAAAAATAAATAAATAAATAAATAAAAAGTAAAAAAAAAAAAAACAATGTAAATGCTAGGTAAATAGCTATGAAACCTGTATAGTTTAGGGAACAATGACCAAAAAAGAGTGTGTATGTGTTCAGTGCACATGCAATTTCTTTTATTTCACTGTTGGTTGACTCACATGCAATTTCTTTTATTTCACTGTTGGTTGACTCCATATATGTAGAATTTAAAGATACAGGAGGGCTGACATAGCTGATGAATGGTACCCACACTTGGAATATCCAAATAATTCAATAAAACAATAATTCAGTTAAATAGGATCACATGCAGGTATATGATCAATTCAAAGTACAAAAGAGACCCATGTATTTTAGAGTCCAAAAAGCTCATTAGGGATGGGCATTTGGCCTAGCAGTTAAGACGCTGCTTGGGACACCTGCATCCCAGAGTGCCTGAGTTCAGGTCCCAGCTCTGATCCCAATGCTAGCTTCCTGCTAATGTGCACCCTAGAAGGCAGCAGACGGTGGCTCAAGTAGCTGGGTCCCTGTAACCCACATGGGAGACCTGGATTGAGCTCCCAACTCCCAGCTTCGGTCCCAAGCCAGGGACCATTCTGGGAACCAGCAGATGGGATGTCTTACCCTGTCTCTCTGCCTCTCAAGTAAAAATGAATAAATACATGTGTTTTCATTTGTTGTTTTTTTTTTTTTTTTTTTAAAGCTCATTACTATGCCTTCAGATTCTACAGTGGAACCAGGTACCACCTGTCAAGTTTTGATGTAGCATCAAAAGGAGTATCCAGTTTTTGAAAAGGCAATGAAGTTCTCCTTTTCCAAATAGGTACTAGTGAGGCCATTATTTTCCTTACTTATTTCAACCAAAATTATTTCAAGTTGTTCTCCATGTTAATTTCTAATGGGTAAAGACTTAGATACCACTCCCATCAGAAAAAGCTCCTGGGTGTCCTTGGGAATTTTTAAGAGCAGCAGGGAGCAGGTTCTCAGAACAAACAGTTTGGGGACCACAGTTTGCAGGGCTGCCTGATGAAATGAAGGCAGCCAAGCTCAGCATTCGCCCCACAGCAGCAAGGCTGCTTTCCTGCTCCATTAGGCATGAATTAAGCAGCATGCCATCGTGATTCCTGCTCCAGTCACACTTGCCTGTCATGGTGTAAAAGCGGTTAATGCTAAACTTACAAGTTTAAGAAAGGCATGCCATACGTTAATCCAGAACAAACTTATCAGGATTAATGGGACTGGAATGCATAGCGAATAAATGCATTAGGAATGCTTTTCTTAAACCCAGGAATGTTCCAACCGACTTACTCTAACTTTTCAGATTTGAGAATTCCTTTGTTAAAAAGCAAAAACAGCAGAGTAATGAAAATGCTATACTTCATGACTTAAGAATTCCATTTCATGTATTTCATAAATACAGCCAGCAGCATTCCAGCACTGCCTCTGAACGGCTTCCAGGAGCACGTGGGAACTGTAAAAATGGGATTGAGACACCATGTGGCCGTACCGTAACATATTAATAGCAAACACCTGGCACACCAAGGCCAACTACATACATAAAATAACCTGAAAGCATCAGCAAACATATCCCACTTTACAATTTGTAAATCAGAAGCAGTCAGATCTTCCCATGAGGTTTAGTGAAGGGAACCGCTGTAAATGCCTTTCAACTTATTTTATTCAACATAATGGCCAACTCTGGGGCAATTTATGCAACTGCTTTGCCTGTGGATGCATTCTTACACTACTCTTCATTCAACAAATATGTCTTATGCCAACAACAGCTCTAGAACATGGAGGTACAATAGTGAACTTACTAGGCCAAAATCCCCATCTCAATGGCATTTACGTTGTATTGCTCAGAATATTTGTTAAAAAAAAAAAAAAAAAAAAGAAGGAAGGATGAAACACTAACCAGATGTGACAAACTTCTGATCTCCCAAAGCAATACAAGAGATCATGAGAAATAAGGGCACCCTAACCATATAAGCAGGTGCTCCAGTACACAACAAGGGCAGCTATTATGGTTTTTGGCAACTGGAGCCGAGGAATCTGACAAATGAAGCCTGCTACCAACAATCACACGTGAAGGCTGGTAAGGGATTCATGTTCAGTCTACGGGCTTCTGCTTCAATCAATAACTCTGGTAAGGGATGGCTGTTTAGGCTGGCAGTTAAAATGCCAGTTAAGATGTCCACATCCCATTTTAAAGTGTTTGCTTCAAAATTCAGCTCCTGTTCCTGACTTCAGCTTTCTGCCAATGAACACCTGGAGAGACAGCAAGAGATGGTTCACCTGGATGATCACTGACATCATAAATAAGAGTGTCAATGGTTAAATCAACAACAGAAGTCACTGTGTACTTGCTCCCCATGTAGGACCTCTGTCCTTAATGAGTTGTACTATGAGAATTAATGGTAAAACTATTCTTCAAACAGTACTTTATACTTTATGTGTCTGTGTGGGTGCAAACTGTTGAAATCTTTACTTAGTATAAAGCTG